GCTTCCCTTTTCCTGATGTGGCTGGAGGCTCCCGGGCTCACTGCTGTTCAGATGGTGCCATCTGGCTCTCACAAAATATATGAGAAATGTTATCCAATAAAAGAGGGGGCTGGCTGGCTGTGTGCCTTCACCTCTTGCTCTTTGGGGAAGCGATTGTTTCTGCATCTGGGAAATGTTTAACATAATTTTTGAGTACTAGTGTTGCCTGAGTAAGGAATAATAGGCTGGCAATTTGAATTCAGGCCTGAATCAGTGGTAACTAGACACTATTTTGCTTGGTAAGGGCAGGGCTGAGGTTTACAAACACACAACACATAGAAATAGCTTGTGATATGGCTCTGTTAGTTTTACGGACAGATAGGAAATATCCCTTTCCATGCTGTTCTGTCAAGCAGGATGTTTGGGTTAGGAAAGATAAGGAGAAAAGGTCTCAGTTCTCTGACAGGAAGACACTAGGAAAAAAGAGCACAATGTCAAAAAGGCTGAGGGAAGTTTCTCTACAGATAATTTTGTCCCACTCCCCATTCTTTTAATATGAAAATATACTTTAGCTGCAGCTCAGCATCCTATAGGGATTGCCCCTGGGAGCTGAGGGGTGTTGGATGTACCTGCAGATTCTCCTGGGACACTTTGCTGGCAGCTGATAAAAGAGAACCTCTCTGGCCTTGAGGGCTATTGCCCTTTCTTCCTGGGTTTCTCCATTATTTTCTCTCTGCTTTATTAAGCTTACTGGTGTGTTCAGCCTTCCTTCAAGCCCTGGCTGAGATCAGGCCCACAGACACAGGTCCTTGGCCCTTTTCCTTGCACCCACAGTCACTCATGAACAGTGTCACTCTTTGATCCAAACTCTTCTAACACCAAGCACAGACTCATATCCATGTACACAAATCCTGGTAGCCCTGTGTGTGCTCCAGGGCTGTGCTGACAGACTCTGCATGTGCTCATCCAGACACACTCACATGGAGGCATTTCTCCACCCCAAGCCATGGTGTTTGACAGGAGCTCAGTGCTCAGCTCTTGCCCAGCCCTCTCTGTGCCTGGCTGGGACAAACTCAAAAGCCTTTCGGGCAATCAGGCAATAACAGACCTTGTGGAAGCTGAAAGTCTCCCAGACAAAATTTACAAGGCCTAAGAGAGCCTTCCTGGCATAATTTAACACTTTAGTAATGAGCACCTGGACAGGAAGGATTGCTTGGGTAGTTTTATTCTGCATAGATGAGCAGTCAGAATTTCAAAGAGGGGCCATAAATACAAGAGGAATGGCTGACGGAGCCTGGGTTTGGTGTGGGAGGCAGTCCTGCCGAGGCTGTGAGGACATGAATAAAGGGGAAAGAGTTTTCATTCAGCTTCCCAACTCCAAAAGGCATCCTTTAGCCAGGAATGGCTTTAGGGAGAGCAGCAATCCTTTTCCAGCCTGCCTGTGACTGTGCCTCAGTGCCTGTGGCCTGGCATTTGTGGATTTGCAGCTGCTCCCCGAGGCTGCAGTACAGTGCTGATGTCTGTTGGTGTCACACGTGTGTTTGTACCTGTGTGGCTGAGGACAGCAGTGTGCATCCCTCAGCCTCTGTGCTGTTTGCCTGGGCACGTGCACTGCTGATAAAAGCCACCAATAATGCTAATTCCTTGTGGATGCATTTGCATTGCTGGTGGAGTCTGCAGTAACACACTGAAACCTCTGTGTACAGGTCTGTGCAAGTAATACAGGTACACCTGGATACAGTTTGTGTTTATGTGCTGCTCATACAGACAGTTCTAACTTGTATCTGAGTAAAACATGCTCAGTGTTGATGATTTAAACTAGTAATGAACTACGTATTCCTTTTGGCAGCACATGCTGTGTGGTTGCACACTTCTGTGAGGCCTCAGGGAGGGAAGTCATAGCAGTCAGAGGCTGATGCTCTCTGAGCACAGAGGGGCATGGAAGGAAATGTTAAGCCAGGTATGAAGATCTCCCCTGGGCACCATCCTGCCTCTCCCATTCCCAAATATTTGAAATGTTTTATTTCTTTCCAACGCAGAATGAAAGGAGACTGAAATCATAGAAGTTGCCATGGAGCAGTTGCCCCTTCCCCCAGAGCTTTCTGAGTGCTGTGCAGACCCCTGTGTGTTCATGGAGGGATATTTAGTGCTGAATGTGGCAGTCTGAGCATCTCTGTGCTGACAGGGAAAGGCATGTTCTTCATGTATATATTGTAGGTGCCAACACAGCAAGAGAAAATTCTAGTTCAGCTGAGGGCTAATGCAGCTCTGTGGGGTGTGTGTGAAGGGAGGCGAAGGAAAACCATGTACAAGTTTTAAAAGCCGAAGCTGTCAGGTTGATGTACTTGTGTGTGCAGAGAAGGGATGGGAGCAGCTCGTCTGGGAGCAGTTGTGGCAGCAGCACTTTGTGTCTGTTTGCCCCTGCGTGCTGTGTGTGTGCAAAGAGGTGACTGGGGGGCTCCCAGGGTATGTGTGTGTGTGTGTGTCTGTCTGCCTGTCTGTACCTGGAGGGCTGTCAGAATCGCTGCTGAGGAGAATCCTGTCACTGTCTGAGTGCTTGTACCAGCGCTGGAGATAACTCTGGCAGTTTGAGTGATTGATTGAGCACTGTCCCTCACATCAGCGTGGGCTTCGCTCCCAACACCAGCAAAGTTAGAAAAAGCAATTTTTCGCTTTACTGTACGCTGCAGTTTTCAACAGAATTGCTAACCCCTCACCATTACCTTCTCTGCAGAGACCTCCATCACTGGCAGGAGTGGTGAAAGCCAGTGGAATGCAGCTTTACTTCAGGAGCCTCATTAAATTTGCATTCCTTGGAGCCCCACAAGGAAGATGATGGTCTGGCTTTGTCTGCCTGGCTTCCTGTTCTCTTTGAGTGATGCATCAGAGAGAGCTGCTGTGCCTTTGACACAGTTGCCTGCCTACAGACAGTCTCAGGTGATGGGCCTGTTTTATTGTGCTTTCTCTTTCTTATTGACTTGACAAATCTATCTGAAAACTGGGATGAGGGATATTTTTCGTAAGCAATAACCATCAACAGTCAAATAAATGAGAATACAGGGCAAAGAACGTAGCTTAGGCTACATTAACTCCATAATGCAGCCTGATTAAAAGCCATTCCCACCAGGTAGTTGTTTAGCAACAATCCTGCTCTTGCAGAAGTCCACATCATAGTAACTGGTCACCCTGGTAAATAGGCCAAGGATGGGGGGAATGTTTTCTCTTCCTGCCTCCAAAGCCAGAGTGAGTCACAGGAGAGCACACAATAAATGAATGCAAGACCGTTGTATCCAGCACACTAATTAAGAGACCGTCTGTCAACACTAAAGCCCCTGTACTCAGGGATGTCTTTATCAGAGACATCCTGAAAGCCCAGGCAAGGGCAAGGCAAGCTCGATGACCAGCTGTGCAGAATGCCTTGCTGCACGAGGGGCAAGCATGAATGTATAAAAGATTGTCTGTACCACCCTAATTAACACGTCTTGCTACCTCCCATTTAACGACTCCTACTTAATTCAGGGGTTGTTGCCGCATACCTCTGCAACTGAACGCATAGAGATGTCTCCTGTACAGAGCATTTATCTAGTGGTGAGGGTACCAGCGAGGACCTGACGAGTCCTTCCCAGAGCCCCGGCTCTAACAGGGGCTGGACCCGCAGTACCAGCCAGATGCTGCGAAAGTTTCTGGCAGTTTCTGTCCCAAGACGCGCCCGGTCCCGGCGTGGTGGCAGAGCCGCACTCCCATGCTTGTCACACGGGGCACCCCCATCCCTCTCCAGACGGCAGCCCGCAAACCCAGCGCTCCCTCCGCGGGCGGGCAGGGCAGTCCCGGGATGGGCCCGTGTGGCAGCACCCGCAGCTCCCGGTCCCGGCGGTCACTCCGGTACCCGCCCCCTCCGCCGGGGAGCTGCGCGGGGGCCGGGCGGGCACCGGGGGCCGTTCCCAAGCGCCGTGCCCGTGCCCCCCCTGCCCGACGGCGGCCGAGCCCCGCCGTGGAGCTGCCCTTCCACGGGGGCTGCCTTCCCACGGGGGCTGCCCTTTCTCCCCACCGGGGCTGCCCGTCCGGCGCCGCCGCACCGGGGCCGGCGGGGCGGGGGCCGCGCACGGGGCACGGTTTATAGCGCGGTTTTATAGCGCGGCCGCAGCGCCGCCCGCAGCCCGGCGGGGCGGCGGCAGCCCCGGAGCTCCGCACCCCTCCGCTCCTCATCCCTCCGCTCCTCATCCCTCCGCTCCTCATCCCTCCGCTCCTCATCCCTCCGCTCCGCATCCCTCCGCTCCTCATCCCTCCGCTCCGCACCCCACCGCTCCGCATCCCTCCGCTCCGCATCCCGCGGCACCGCGGCGGGGGCTGTCGGCCGCCCCTGGGGACCGGCGGGACGGGCCGTGCCAGCAGCGGCCGCGGCGCTCGGCGGAGCGGCGTTAAAAGGCGGCGGCGGGGCCGGGGGAGGGCTGCGGGACCGGGACCGCGACCGCCGCTGCCGCCGGCGCTGCAGAGGCACCGGTACCGCTGTACCCCGGCACCGGTACAGCGGGACTCGGCACCGGTACCGCTCTGCCCCAGCTCCGGTACAGCGGGACTCGGCACCGGTACCGCGGGACCCGGCCGTGCCCCGGCATCGCTGCGAGCCCTCGGCTGCTGCCGCCCGGCCGGGCGGAGGTGAGTGATGCGCTCCGCGGCCCCGGGGTGGAAGGGGGTTGTTGTTTTGCGGGTCTGTGGGCACAGCCGTCTCCCGTGACACCGTCTCCTCGGTGCCCGCCACCGGCCCTCAGCGCTCGGCTCTGCCCGGGAGGTGATGCGGGGGTCGGTCGCGCTCCTGGGTCCCGCGGTGCTTAGGGCAGCACCGCTGCAGTCACTCCACTAGTCACTTTTTTTTTTTTTTAAGCCCTTTGCTCCTTCCTCGCCCCCCTTTCCTCCCTCCCCCTCCCCCCTTTTTTTTTTTTTTTTTTTTTTTTTTTTTTTTTTTCTGGGAATCCAACAGCTAAATCCCTCAGTTGTGTGTTTAGCCAACTCTCCCTGGAAGCTCTGGAGAGTTCATGAATATGCACAGGGAGAGCGTTTCTCGGGAGGCTGCCTCTATAATGAGCTGATTGAGCTGCGCCTGCAGCAGGGCTGTTCTCCTGGGGGAAAAGTTGGGCGCCAGAACTGAGCAGCTTTGTGTCCCCGGCTCCACGGAGGCTTGGCCGGCCTCCCTGAGGAGGAGCAGAGCCAGCGGAGCGCTCGCCACGCTCAGGGATGGCAGCAGGTCCAGCCAGGGGGGAACCTCGTCTATGACAGCAGCTGGTGTCCGGTGCTGCTCCAAAAGCTGTAAAGAGCATACCTGGCACACGTAAGGTAACCTTCCTGTTTTATACTGGCTTGTGTAGAAACGGACTTTTCCTGCCTAAAAACCTCATGCCACTTAATAAGGACATTACATTGCTTAGCAACAGTCCCGAGTGCAGCCTGGCCCTGGGCCCTCGCTGTTCCAGGTGGTCTCCAAGGACATGACAGCAAAACACCCGGACTCCCGGAGAAAACGAACTCTTTTCTGTTCTTTCCGATTTGGTGATGAGATGACCAAACCAAAAGAGTGTGGGGCTGTTTGCTACTGCCCGGGTGTTTAAAAGCACTTGAGAGGGCAGAAGCTGAATATAACCGAAAAACTTTGGGGCAGGCGGAGTGAGCTGGAGGTGGCCAGTCCCTCGGGGATCTGCCTCGCTGCTGCATCCTGTGTCACTTGAACCTTTGTTTTGTGCACAGGCATAGCAGTGTGCTGGTTAACAACCTTCCCTCATGCAATTATTAGGATAGTATTTTGACAGCAGTGCAGAGTCTGTTGGGATTTAATGTAATATGCAACAAATAAGTTCCTCTAAAAACAAGGCTGATGCCTGCCCTCGTCTGCTGCTGCAAGACAGGCTTTAGTTAAGTGGGGTGAGGACTTGTGTGTTGAAAGAGAAGTACTTTTACAATTCAAATGACGGAATAAACACACAGACTTCTTGCTCACAAAGCCACATGCTGATACACATAAAATCTACCACCCTAAGAGCTCAGTTTCTTTAAAAAACAATTTTCCCATGAAAATTTGGGCGAGCTTTTGAAACTAGCTGTCTCTTCTCATCAGAACAACTTTGCTCGGGGACAATATTTTTCCCCTCTTCCTCCCCAACAACCTTGTGAAGTGTTGATAAAGATATTATCCACAGCATCAGCTTCCTTTGATTGCTCTTTTAGGCTGCGTGTCTAGATGGAAACCTAGCAACACAATAACTGTATTGAAGGGAGATGTTTCAATAGCTACACTTCTTTTATCATCCTGGATGCATCTTCAGAGGTTAGATTCATCAAGACAGCCTCTTTACCCCTTGGAGCCTTATAGTGTGATTCCCTAAGCCTGGAATAAAACAGACCTGAGCTACAGAAAAGACAATAAAGATGGAATGGAAATGCTTAATATGATAAAAGATCCATTCCTCCTTTCTTCCTGCTGCCCCTGTGAACACCTGCTGTATTTCCATGGGGAAGATACTCCTGTATGGAAGGAGAATGCTTGTCTGACAGGAAAATGATTCAAGGGGAATCTCCCCATCAGCATTTGTGACCGTTTCACCTCGAGGCACAAGGGGAAGGGGACAAATGGCCCAGAGCAATGTGTAACAGTGTATTATGTGAGAGCCAGACTGGCATTTGGGAAGTGGCATCAGCATCGTTCCAGTCCCCCACGGTGGTGAAGATCGTGATTCGTGATTCAGTTTCTGCAACGTTCAGGGCTAATTCCTCCTCAGGGGCAGGAAAAAACCCAAACCACAACCCCAAACACCAGCTGAAGTCACTGATACTCTAACTAGATTTCTCTCACTGGCTATAGTCTGATGTTCTCAGCTACACTGACAAACGCCCTTGTGGTGTGTGGTCTCCTTACCACAGAGTAGAGCACTGGTAGGGAGCCAAGGTGACAATATCCGACTGTAATTTGGGGCACAGGAATGAGGGAGTTCACACCGGTGAAATTGCTGTTAGTTTTCAGGTGTTTGGGGAGAATGTGTTTGCTAGGTGCTAAAAATTCTCCCAATACCCTGTGAGTCCTTGGCTGCACCTCCCAAGATCTTGTGCTTTTTCAGAATTAACGAACTAAACATCACAAATGTGTTTGTCAGGCCAATAGAAGAAGCGGTTAAGTTACAGGAGAACTTTGACTCCTTTAAAAAACTGTCAATTGTGTTTTTAACAAGCTGTGTTGTGCCGGAGTTTATGGGGGTAGCTGTGGTGTGCCTGCAGGAGGGTGACAGGATGTGTGTGCTTCGGTTGGGCACTGGAGGAGGGATGCACACGGTGTTAACATTTTGCATCCAAAAAGCCACAGCACATCTGAAACCCTCTTGTGATGCCAGTGCTCCGAGATAAGTGCTGCTTATACAAAGACTTGCCTGTTGGGTACAAGTACTTAATAAGCAAGCTTGAGTGAAACTGGAGAGGGATAGGAGTTCGTACCCTGGCGGCATATGGAAAGTCTGGATAAGCTGTCATTTTTATTTCAGAAGTTTGAACGGGTTCTTCTGCGAGTCCCAGGGTCTCTGGGTGATGCTGTGTGGTCTCTGTACATGCCAACATGCAGTAAATCCCAGCAGGACTCTCTCCAGCACAGAGCATTTAGCATTCAGTTGGTTTAATCCTCTAATCTTATCAAGAGCTGACATAAATGAGAACTGAACAGATAAATTCCTTTTTAAAAAATCAACCCCCCTTATATATTTCTCAGTGTAGTGCACAAGATTTCTCCCTTTGCTTACCTGATTGGCTTATTTATTTCCTGATCCATTGTTTGTACAGAGGGATCAGGCTATAGGTTTGGACTCAGTGGTGAAAGGCACAGCTAATCGGCTCTGCTGTGATGAGAGTTTATCTGCTGTTTGAGCAGCCTGAGGGGATTTCAGGATCAGAGCCAGTAGTGTGGTCTGGGAGCTTGGTTAGTGGGAGCTGGGAGCTTGGCAGAGGAGGGAGTTGCTGGTAAATGTGGGTACTTGTTACCTCCTCGGTGGCAGCAGTCCTGTTCACTTTTTATTCCTTTTGTGCCCGTCAGGAGGAGCAGAACAAATCCTTTGCCTTCTTCCTTTCCACACACCTCGCTCTTTCTCTCTGGAGGGACAAAGCAGCCCTCACAAGGCTCTGTGAATGTGTGGCCAGGGGCAGTGGAATGTGTTTCCAGACCTTGTGATGAAGTTGAACAATGAAATATTAGTTTCTAGAACTCCCTTAGTCTCTCCCCTGCAATACCACAGAACAGGTTATCTCTTTAAATGATTGATTTCACACAGATTTACTTGAGTTCAGACATCTTGATGCAGCTTTACCAGGGTGAATTTTCTCTCAGTTCTCTCCTTACTGATGCCTTTGCTGAGAGCTGGATCTGCCTCCTTGCAGAGCAGCACCTTATTTCATGAATAGCTCTGCTGCATTCAGTGAGACTGTTAAGGAGGAAGGTGCTGTGGTGTCTGTGACTCAGACTAATGCAAGTCAATTTAAAGGACAGATTAAGTGCAGTGTGAGTATGGATTGCAGTGTCTGGCCCTTAATGAATAATTCAGGATATGGAGGAGACAATGTAAGAGTTAAGTGCTTAATCCAGCTCTAGGTGAAGTCAGCAAGACACTTTCCATTGACCCCAGTCCAGGATATATTTCAGCAATGCTTAACTATGTGTGAGTTTGTAAATTGTCCCACTGATGGCAGTGAGCTACAACAACTGTCTGAATTAGCACCCAGCAGAATGTTATTTATGACCCTCTTGCCTGTCATACTGTCGTTAACCATCCTCTGCAGCACCTGGGGGAAGCTTTCTGAGGTCTCAGCACTGCTATTGAGTCATGCTTTTGTAGTATTGAAAACCAGAAAATATTAATAACTGGAGTGCCACACCACTAACAGGAGGGAATACAGACACAAAGAGGTTGGCAAAGCAAGCTTCAAAGGCTTGATTTGGGTTGCTCAGAGCTGGGGATGGTGCCTTATTCTGCAAGAACAAGGCAGGACTGGACACTCAGCTCTTCACAGCTCAGGAGTCCAGCTGTGCCTGTTCCTGCAAGTGCCTGAGTGTGATCCACCTTCATGGGGTGAATGTTCCCCAGGCACTGGAACTGCTCCTGGGGGACCTGCAGTGGTGGGGATGGCAGAGCAGCTGTGTCCTGCTGGTGGGAAGCAGGGGATGCTCTGCAACCACAGTTCTTGCTTTTTGCTGCAGGTCTGCAGTAACTGGGAATCCTGTCCTTCCAGCTGCTCCAGAGGGATTTACTTTCCCATAAAGGTACAGTTCAGCACCAGTCATTAGCAGTGCTGATTTCCTTTCATGATAGCAGCATCTTGGAGGGAGGCAGAGCATCTCCTCTTTCTTGTTGTAACTCTGGAAGTATAAGAATTCCAGTGAAACCTGTGCCCTTGCTCTGAGCCTGTGGATCCTGATGGTGCCACAGGCTTTGCTTGCCCGTGGGGTGACAAGCACAGCCATGGCAGAGCAAGGCACCCCACACACAGGCTGTCTCCTGCACTGAAATTAGGGCTTCACAGATGCCTGACCCTTTTTTCCTGTTTTTGAGTAATCTCTGCTTGCTGGGAGAAGAGGTTTGGGGAACAAGGCTGGGATACTTTCCCTGCCATCTGCCTTAAGGCAGCAGGCTTGAAAGTTGGCACAGTTAATTCCTGATCTTTGCCAAGCTCTGTTAATAGAGAACAGCTCCTCCTGAATAGAAGGCAGTTCATGTAACATAAATAGTGGAGAAGGGGGAGAGGCCAATGTGTTTGCAGGGGGGGAAAGACATACTGGCAGTCGTCTGGTTCTTAAACTGCTGCTGGCCTTGACTCTGCTGCTTTATGGGGGGAGAGTCAGGGGTGAGCACCATTCTTTTGCCTGGACTCCAGGCTGTAGGTGCTGTTGCTCCTGGGGCCTGGTTCTGCAGCTGCAATCTCACTCAGTCACGGCAGGGAAGCCACTTTGGATTTGTTGCTGGGAATGTTAACCCGGGATCTACCTGCTGAGATAACTACACGGATGAGCTTGTTTGGGCTTCAGGGCATCCTGTCTGATGCTGCCACAGACTTTATTCCCATCTCATTTTTGCATAGCAGAAATTTCTTTGACTCGAACACAGAGGAGGGTTCTGGGAGATCTCTAAGCTCACTTGGCTGTCTGAGGTTGGGTAGCAAGACACAGAGTCTCTGTGTCACTGTTAACTGCAGTTATAGGGTACCACTGCTGCTCCCCAAATGGCAACTAAAGCTGAACAACATTAGCTGTAGCTTGCTTGGTCTGTATTTAGCTTCTGTTAAAGTCAGCAAAAGTAATGGCTGAATTCCAGCAGAGCTGGAGCTAGACTGTGGAATCCTGCTTAATTCATTTGTGAACTTGCATATAATCCTATGTATTTCCCTAGAGGAACAGGGAATTGGATCTGATAGCTGTTTGCAAAGGGTTTATGCAGTTTCTCATATATGATGCACAAAGTGCTCTTTGCTCCTAAGGGGATGTGCTATATGTTGACTGGTTTCTTGGCTCTTTGTTACACCCAGGAGCTGAGAATAAACTCCTTTTGAGTGCTTATTAAGGTCTGTGGAGACAATTTGGAAAAAAACCCCCACAAAACAGCACCTAATCCTTTCTACTGCTTGGGGTACTGCTGAACATGCAGCACACTTGATTCCCTGAATCCAACCATTTCTCTTTGTTCCTCCTTTTAACAAGGCAAATAAATTCCTGCAGAAGACGGGGCTGCAAACTCAGATTTGAACTAGAGCCCAACAGGGCATTTTAAACATGTCTGAGATGTTCCCAAAGCAACCCTGGCTCCTGCTTGTAAATCAAACCTGGCCAAATCCTCTGTCTTCATATTTCCACTGCTGCCTCTTTCCTTCCACCTCCCCCCTCACACACCCTCCCACTTACTCTCCTGTGAACAACTCAGGCAGCAGGTTTAATCTCCAGGCCAATTTTTATGGCTGAGTTGAAATGGGAAGGTGGGCAGTCCCACAGGAGCATGAAAGTGCCTCAATAAAACAGCGGGCTCTGTTTAAACTGAGGGTTGGGAGTCTGGACAATATAGACAACTGCTTGTTTTGAAAGTTAAATCTATTGTACTGCAAAGCTCGGGCCAGTTCTTGGACCATGGAGAAAGCTACTCCTTCCGGAGCTTCCTGCCAACAGTTGCCATTTCCAAACTCTGAGCATTGCAAGCTGTGCTTCTTCAGGACCCACAGAGCACCTGTCAGTGCCTTGGACTCACCCGAGTGTCAAATCCATGGATGTGCCTCCAAACGGAGTGTCTCACAGCCTGATGTGTGTGCTGCAAGCCATTTCCTTCCACAGCCAAACTGAATTTTACTTGCAAGGCCATCCCTTCTCTTCCTCCCAATCCTAACCCCTGCATCTCAGCCCTGTCACTTCACACAGGGCTCTGACAGGCAGCGAGTGGCAGCTGAGCAGTGGGCTGGGCTGGGCTGGGCTGGGCTGGGCTGGGGTCCGTTTCACTGCTGTCACTGGTGTCTTGTGCACAGAGCGTGGCAGAAACGCTGCGGCGTCCTAGGCAGGTATAAAACACCAGCCTATGACAACTAAGAAACAAGATGTATCAGCAGGTAAATGTTTCATCCCCTGTGGCACTGCTTAAACCAAAGAAAAGAATCTTCATTCCTGTAAATCTGCTGTGTGGAACCAGTTCCTTGATGCAGGTTTGCTTGCAGTAACTGCAGAGTTCATAGCACGGGTTTGTGTGTAAGTGGCACAGGAAAGCAGCTGACCTTATTTAGATGCCAATAACAGAGAGCTCTACTGTGAGTAGCAGAGACAGATTAGATTTGGATGACATTTCCTTTATAGACCTCTTGCAGTTTCTTGTATTTCTGGTGTGTTGTGGGGGAGGTCAGTCCTTTTGGATCCAAATCTTGGCACACACGCAGCTAAACTCATTCCTGCGTGTGCACCACCTGCCTACATGCCCTTCTATTCTGTTATGCTGCAGATCCTGGTACTGTTTGCATTTCCATTCCTCTGGCTGATTTGGGAAGTGCCTGCAGGGAGTCTGCTTCCTTACTCAGCCAACAGTCTGTTTTCCAGAGGGCCAGACACAGTTCCACGTCAGCATAGGGCAGTGGAGTGAGTCGCTTTGAAAATCAATTTACAAACGTCTGTGCAAAAATAGCCTGCATTTGCTTGTGGAGGGGAATCCCAGGAGGCTTTGGAACAAGGTATGTTGTGAAAGGATGGAAGACAGGGTTTCAGACTCCAGAATATGAGAGCAATTCAGAGCAGCTGATGTGATTTGCCCCGGGAAAGCTGGAAAAACTAATAGTAGAGCCACAAACGTTTCCTTCTTTTTTTGTGTGTTTTAACTGCAGGACTTGGTCCTAACAGTTAACACAAGTAGCATCTCAGCCTGGCTGGAAGTGTGGGATGCAGTAAGGAACTGGGAACAATTGCCTGAAATGCTTTGATCCTTTGCCAGGTGGCAGTCCCTTGTCCCTTTGGGTTGGATGATTGCCACTCACGCTCGTGCAGCTCCCATGGCTGTGAATCCCTGCACCTTTGGTGGCAGAGGAACAACAGGGACAAGGGTGATCTCTGCCTCTTTCTGAACTGCTTCAGATCACAGACCTCTGGGTCTGTGCTGGGAGGGTGGAGAAGAAGGGAGAGAAGGGACATGGCTGCTGCCTCAGCTCAGGCCTGATGGCCTAAACCTGCATCTGGAGACAGGGCTGCACTGGCAGCTTCTGGGAGCTGCTGCCAGCAACATCTCCCCCCCTTGCACAGGGACTAACAGGAACCAGCTCGAGGTGTCTCTTGTTTGTGCTGGGAAGCACGCTGGACTCTCCCTGAGACGAATGTGTCATTAAAGGCTGTTTGCTTATTCTTCGACCCTGCCCCCTCCTCTGCTAATGGTCTGCGGGGCTGTGGTCATTGAGCTGTGGGCACATTTAATGTGAGTTTCTGCATGGCTGGTGCAGCTGGCAGTGAGCTTTAAGTCCTTGTACTGGCAGGGGATCTGCCTACAAACATTGAGGCAGCTTGTCTCCTCTCCACATCCTCCCCTTCCCCTCAGGAAGTTTTCCTTCTGTTCTGAAAAACCTTGTGCTTGCCCAGGTCCTGCTCTGGAGCAGTGAGCCATGGCACTAGGGGCTCTTCAGCTTCTGGGTTTTACACCTCTGCTTCCAGATTTCTCACTGATCCTGAGAAGATGAAATAGCAGTGCTAATTAATCCGATTCCAGAAGCAGCAGGTTTCCATGGGAGGAGGGCAGCTAGCTGCTTCTGTGTCAGAGAGAGAGAAGTGTGGGAGGTAAGAAAGACATACCTGCTCAGATCCCACTTCCTAGGCTGCTGAGAGCCAGCCAGCTACAAGCTGCTTTGTGAGTCCCTCCTGATCCAGCAGAACGATTTCCATGCATTCTCAGGAAAAAGAGGCCACGTCTGTGCCACAGACAAGCTCAGCTCAGTGCATGGAGCTGGAATGGGTATTTCTGCTGCTCCCTCATTTAGGAGAGGGCTACGGCATCACCCACTCCTCTCTCATGCTGGTGAGTGGAAAGCCCTGCTGAAGAACTGAGTGTGACTGAAATGCTGTGGGAGCTGTGTCCCCGTCAGAGATTGCAGCCTTACAGCCTTCCTGTTGTGAATCTGGCATTTTCTGATGTCAGTAAATTATAGCAGTGAAAAAGCAAGACCTTTAGATCCATCAGAGTGATGCTGGGTAGCACCTGGAGCGAGACACTGTGACCTGTGTGACTGACACATGTGCAGATGGGACTTTGTGCCTTTGCCTCCTCTTCCTGGAAAGTCAGAGCACCATGGGCAGAGCTGGCTGAATACAGACACTTCACCTGGAGCACTTGTAATGTTTTTTTTCTAACCTTAATTGTACTTTTTTATGTTGGAATGGCAAGAAGTGGAGACAAAACAGCTGCCTGTATTTGGCAAGAAGGCCTGGCAGCACAGGCTGGCATTGCTGGGTTACTTTTCATATTGCTGCCCACAGAACCACAACCACCAAAGAACCACAACTGCTGCTTGGGCTGCTGAGACAAAGCAGCTCACGTGCACCATGGGGAAGAAATTGTCCTCCTCCTTCTCAGTGATGGAACTGGCAGCTTATGGGGAGACTCTGGAGAGGGGCCTCAAGGAGAGTGTGTTTTGATCAGTCCCAGGAGCAGTGTGCACACAAACATGCTATTTTTGAGCTGCAGATGGAGGAGACAGCACAGCCAGCCCTTGTCTGTGTCCTTCCTCCTGTTCCAAGGAGCAGGTGTGGGGAGCAGAGCTGGA